ATATAAATTTATTTATATTTTTTTTTGGATTGAGTCGCGACTCACAACACTAGACTACCAACATTTTTATGCTTAGTCACTTTTTGGATAACGTTGCACAAACAAAAACAACCAAAATAAAATAAGACATATATATGTGTTATATATTATATACATATATATAATTCACTGCTGATATTGATGGACGGAAGCGTCTTGGCTGCGATTGCATACAAGTGAAATTTTGTTGCTGTTCCAAATGGCGCTGAGCACACACTCACACACAGACTCACTCACACTCACCCACACACGCACACGCTCACACACGATAAAATAGCGAATGGGCATCTAATTGAACGTGAGGCCAAACGCACAGTTTGGATTACAGCAGAGTCAAACAAAGGCTGTGCATTGTGCCGCACTGAGCACTGAATAAGCAGCGCCCACTTTTTCAGGGCATCTGATTGTACTACTAGCTACGGCAAATATGTAAAGAATTTACCAAATTTATGGACTGTCGATTAAAGCTGACAGTTGCTGGCGTTATGGCTGATCGCAATCAGAGCGCATGCCGCTGATGAATAGTAAGCCTACAAATTAAATTGATTTGTGGTAATGGCATATCAAGTAATGCAGAATATTAGCCAAGTTTTAGCTTGGTCAACAAAAGCATATTGAATTTAGTGGCATCTAAGACAAATTTGGTAAAGCTGCAGCTGCAACGAGTAAGCACCGGCTCTTTGTCAAAGAGTCTAATGCAGCTCTATAACAACTCTTAATGCTCAATGCATTTTAATTGAACTCTACTTGTCATTGATTCAAGAGAATCTCTCAAGCAGGTGATTTGGTAACTGATCAAATTGTAGCGAAATTAAATTTAAATGGGTTTCTTATAATTATACAGATTACATTTTCAGATACTTTAAAGCATAACAGCTCAGCGATAACAGCATTTGCTGAAATGGGCTAAGAGAAGGGTTAACAGTCAGAAAATTTGAGCAGTTGCCAGGCGGCTTCAAGGGGGCAATAACAGATAAATATCGATCAGGGTATCTTATCACAGGGCCCAAGCAAATCAAAATCTTTAGCACCGGATTTACAAAACACGTCAACACAACAGCTGAACTACGCATTGAAAACTCACGACACTTTTCACAGGAATTGTGAAACACTTAGCGAAACTTTACCATGTTTTGGATTGATAATCGGCGTTCAGTGTGGGCGTTTGGGGCTCCACGGGTTCACAGCAGAAGCAGGCAAAGCCTTGCGTCTTTGAATGTTGATGAAGGGGCACTGTATTGACCTTGCCATTCGCATTGATATTTAATGAAATGGACTTAAAGAGCTGCGGCTGAGGCGGTTTGGGGCGCTCATGGATAGCCGAATAACGTTTTAATTGATTCACAGTYTCGATATTATTATTATCATTGTCATCGCTAATGAGATGACAAACGCGATAATCACTTATAGGCTTGGCACTGCCATTCCCGAAATGTGCACCGTTGTCCAAGCTCTTATCGGCAGCGCTATTGTTGTTGTTACACATGACTGATAACGGGCTGTGGCAGATATCTTAACACCAACAAACTATCTAAGACGAACGTCGCTTGTCTTTAGACAGTTCTACACAACACACACACTCTGCGTATACTCAACGTTGCGTTCCGGCGTTTCAAAAACAACTGAGCCAGAACATGGACAAGCTCTCTCTATAGCTCGAGCAGGCTTTCGCTTTCTGGAGAACCTCAACAGATATACAAATACATACACAAACATAGAGTGAGCGAAACCCTCTATTGTCCCTCTCTCTCTCTCACTCCGTCACTCTAGACACCTACACAAAGAGTATAAGTATAAATAAAAGCCAACTGTGAGCAACAGTTGAGCGTATTCGGGCTCTCAAAAAAAAAAAGTAACAACTGTAAAAGCAATGTACTCGTTTGATAGATACCCTGTAGTTGATATACCATTTCAATATATTTTTTAAATATTATAGATAACTATTAGAGGGTATTTAACTATCCATATACTATATAGATATATGAAATTTAAGATAACATGAAATTATTATTATTATTTTTTATTTTATTATCGGTTGGTATTAGTAATCTAATTATTCATCTACCTCTTATTAAAAATGTAAGGGAAATTCGACTTATTCTTATTAATAAGTTTTTTTCTGCTGAGCTATATAAATCCAGTGTATTACTATATATCTTCATCGATTCATCAATTTGATATTATTAATATACCCAACTTGCGAAATTTTAATCAACTAGGGTATGCATAAATAAAGTTCTTTCTACGTTTTCGGTTTTATGAGTATTTATCTTATTGTTGTTGTTGTTGCCTTTGTTGGTGTTGTGGTCGAGCTGCTCAGTGTAATGGGTTTATATCTTTATAGCTAGCACCCGAACCGCACACGACACGCGATTAAACAGCCAGCGCAAAATGTTAGTAAAGCTGCTATGAGCATTTAATAAACGAATAAATACTGGGAAATCTAATAAATTGATGAAATAGCTTAGTGCAGTTGCAAAACTAAATTAAATAAATCAAAAATAATAATAGAAAAATAAAAAAAATAATAATTAATATATAAGATTTTTTCTAGTAAAGAAAATAAAATGGATCATAATGCTATTATCTCTATTTTACTATCCACATAAAATATGTTTAGAATACTTTTTCTAAAGCCTGCTTAACACTTCAAGTATATATATTTAATCTCAGAATTTTATCGCATACTTTTATATTTCAACTAATCCACCATGACGCATAAGCCCCCGAAGCGGGCAAGAAGTGCATGATAAATCATTGCAGTGTAGCTGCGCAGCTTTTAAAGCATATTACAGAGAACTTTATACTACTATGCGACAATTACGTAAATGCGGCAATTTTGTTGTTGYTGTTGTGTTTATCGGGCTGAACAGCTCAGTGGCTCGCATTAGGTTTGAGCAATAGAACAGAAAGTTAGGGAGAGAGAGAGAGGGGGGGAGGGCAGTGAGTGCGAACTGATAAGTTTTATGACAAGCTTTTTCAATTGGTTTTTTATTTCGCTTTATTTATTTTCTTTTTTTTTTCCTACTTTTTTTTTTTTTTTGTTTACTTCATTTTGATTCCTTGACCAGCAGAAAGACAATCAACAATGCATGATAGCGATTATGTTTGCCTGTACGCACACACACACACACACACACACACACACACAAGCACTTTGATAAACTTGGCCAAAATAATTGCTAGCATTGTTATGAAACTAGCTGGAGGTTAAGGGCTTAGTACAGTTTGTTAGGGACATATGCACTTGGAGCAGAGAGAAGCTAAACGCTAGAAAGTTTACGAAATTTTGCTAATTGCTATTGTGTAGAAATTCTGTAGGGGATAAATTTCATTCTGTCCCTCCTATCCTCTATCACTCTCTCTCCTTCACTCTGTGACTAAGGTTTCATCAAACTACTTCACTCATATTCTGCAGCTCTCTGACTTTATAAACTCTCTTCAGTTCTCTCATGTTTCCAATGACTACTAGTATATATTGAACTTGCTTTGACTAAATTGCTGATTAGATATTTTGCGCTTATCTTCAATGTGAGAATGTGCCATTGGGCCAATAACTCTCAGCTATTTGACAGCAATTGCTAAATCAAAAAAAAAAAAAAAAAAAAAAAAAAAAGAATACGATTTCTTGGAGCTGAAGAAGGATTAGGAATAAAACAATCCTGGAATGCTTTTGTCTAACTTATCTAAATTCGTAAAGAAATTAATTCGGGGCTCAATTCCATGTCGTTATTAAAAAAGTTAATGCTTAGCTCAGCTTAAATATAAAAAAAAAAATAAATAAATAAAATTTAACAAATTTTAAATGAAATTTTCCTTAAGCTGCAATTTGCTCTCTTTCTCTCTCTCTCTCTCTTCTCTCAACACTGACAGAAAATCCTCGCTCAAGAAGTTTTACGACTACTCACAATATTCATATTAATGCTACATAAATAATATACTATGAATTCCCTCTGACAGGAGACGACAGCTCGACAATTTCCATGCAGTCGTCTACGACTCTATTTTGCAAGCCAACCCACTTTTCGTGATATTTGAGCTGGGCACATGTGCGACAATTGCGTTTAAATATTTAGAAGCTGTCAAAATCGTGGCCAAAGGCTTAAAGCTTTAACATGCCTCTGCTTATGGCCCGTTGAGCATTAATTATGCAACAGTCACTTAGAGAGTGACACGATCTAAAATGCTGACGTGGCCCAAAGGCCATAGTCAAGTCAAGACAAGTCAGCGTCAAGCTAAGTTGGCCAACAACTTTTTCCGAGCTGAGTTCTGTGAGACACGTTTGCATAGTAAAGCAGCCAAAATAGTTAGAAACTCACCCGCTAAAGCCGCGTCGCTTGGTCGACGAAGACAATGCATCCGCCTTGCCGCGATTCGCTAAAGTCAAAAGTAAATGAATTTAGTTTTGACAAGTTTGCTCAATCTGCATTTAGTTTCGCAAGCAACTCACCTTGATCCTGCATATCGTTTGGCTTCTGTGCGGCTCCTGTTCCAGTGGCTGCTGATGCGGCTGCCGTTGCTGTTGCTGCTCCACCGGACGAACCTTGCTTGTGAGCGCCTGGCGGCGGTTTGAGCACTGCAACGGGCACAAGACCCTCTTGTACAGCCGAATCGTCATGCTGTGGATTTAAACGGACCAAACAAAAGTCCGGCTCACTGGCTGTGGGCGGCTCGATAATCTCAACCTGCTGGCCCTTGCTAACGCTCAGCTCATTGCTGCCCGCACTGGCTATATAGTCAGCCACAACCCAGGTGGCCTCCTGATTGCCCAGCTGCAAGAGAAAGAAAGAGACAGAGAGAGTGTGAGATATGAGATATAAGTATTCTAAGCATGGATAGGAAATGGAAAAAATATGCATTTTAAAGAGACGAAATGCAGATGCTCTAATTCAATTGGAATATTTAATATTTACATTTTATTTTTAACATAATTTCTATATTTAGTTTTTAATAAAATAAAAATAGATATTACAATTGTATATAAAAATTTGATCTCAAGCAATTATTCCCAAGGAAGCCAGATAACAAGTAATCCTAGTCTAACGACCAGTTCTTGGAAAGCTTTTGCTTAATAAGTTCGATAAGAAGAAAATCCCAAGAAATTTTCTTTTAAATAACGACAAAATTCTCAATAAAATAAAATATTTTAAACGATTTTCACATAGCTAGGAAAAAAGTTCATTATAAGCTCCACAGTTCGTATAGATATAGAATATATATATACACATGATGCACTCAAAGAACTCGTCTCTGGGTAACATCTCTTATGACTAAGCTTCAATGCCCTTAGCGAGTGTATAAAGATGATGCTGATGCTGTTGATGGACACAAACACAAACACACACACAGACATACACACACAAGAGACATAAGTGCATCCATTGGAGCGAGTGGACAGCGACCATGCCAAGTGTCGAAGGGCAAGGGCAAAGCGGGCGATTTTATTGATTTAATTTGTGCGGTTTTCGTCAGCTGCAGGCGACACACACACACACACACACATAGTAACACACTCATTGTGTGTATATGACTATGTGACCCACAGCAAGGACTCGCTTGAACACATACTCGAAATAGGAAAAAAAATAAGCAGCAGGCGACCTCCAAACGCAGCTCAAGGATCATTTGCCAACAGAAGCCGAACTAATTAGAAAACAATTCCCAGCAGCCACGCCCCATGGCTCAAGTGGCAAGATGTCAGCATCGATTAGCAGCAACATAATGTTTATTCATAATTTAACGCTTTATTAATTTACATGACAGCTAGAAGAAGAAGAAGAAGAAGAAGAAGAAGAAGAAGAGGAAGCAGAGTTAGCTGTGTTGGAATTTTCGAGCTTGCCAATTGGCGATTAGAATCGATAAGTACCCAATTTTATGGCTATTTTGGGCTGTGAATCGATTAGGGAAATCAATATATGAATATATATATGGTTAAGATTTTCACAATTTATGTACATATAAATATACATATACATATAGATATTTAGATATATATACTGCCTGAGCGTAAGCTTCATTAGCAGCTCTGTTCATTAGGGCTGCTCCTTCCGACTGCCTCGGTACAGTTCGCTGGTTATAAATAGCACGAGTTTCCACCAACAGCAATTAGAGTTACATAAGACTGCACGACTGGCAGTTGCCCTACACACACAGCTGCATGGCATCCCAAAGCTCGTGGGAGTCGAGAGCTCTTCGAGCAATGCTTAAAAATGCATTATAACTGTCAGTTACTTACACAACATGTATACCCTGTACCATACCCCGCACAGGGTATAAAAAGAACAAGTTAACAGGAAGCTGAGCAATGAGCCCAAGTAGGAAGCTGCCTCAAGGAGCTGCGCGTCAGCTGCTGCTGCTGTTAATTAAGCGCCATACAGACACACAACAGCATGTGTGCGAGTGTGCATGTGTGCATGTGTGTAAGCGAGTTCATACACATACACACATCTAGTGTCGCTACATACATTGCACGTTTCCGCTTGTAATGCAATTAGTCGAAAAGTTTTCAGCGCGTTGAGCATTCAAACTTTTCAACAAACAGTTTGTGCAGCCCACATAAAGAGCTGCAAATGGGCGGGCCGAGGTCGGCGGATGGGCGTGTCGCTGAATGTGAGCACAAATTGTATATATGTATGTCAGCTCGCCTGTCAACTCTCCAAATGAGTACCATTAAAAGTTGTGCCAGGCACAAAGGCGCACGCAAAAGTGAAAAATCGAGAGGCAGCACATAAATCAGCTGCAAATGTTGCCCAGAAGACAAATATCAAACGTTTTTAGTTCAATTATATGCTGAGAGTGGCTGGAGACTGAGTGCAAGCAGCTGAATAATTAATTTAATAACTGTAAAAATTGTGAGAGCTTTAGAGGTAAAGTGGGTGTGATTTGCCATTGAGAATTGCATAGAAGGGCGTAATGTATATGTGAGAGAGAAACTGAAGAGGTGGAGTAAGTGTAGTAGGCGGTTGAGTTAGGAAGAGTTTTGGAAGAGATATAGGTTCACAGACTACCAAAGAATAGAAGAGGGAGTGGAATAGATCGAGATAAGTGAAGAGAAAGGGCAGAAATCACGAGAGAGACTGTGAGGGGGTGGACAGAGATAGGGAGAAAGATATGTATTGAGAGAGAGATAGAGATGTGTAGACAGGTATATATTGAAGGAGAGAAACACATAGATAGACAGAATGAAATCGATAATAAGAGAAAACGGCAACGATTAAAGGAGACCTAAAGCTTATATAATAAAAGACTTTTGAAAAGTTTAAGATAAGTCCGATGGGAAGTGCCCGGAGAATACAAACAAAGTATAATCCTAGCTAAGCATAAGCTTATATAGACAGGAAAGTAGCTGAGAACTGAGATGAGCAGTGACACAACCAAGTGACTAATTTTCCTAATGAGTTCAGATCAACTGAGTGCTCTCCCAGAAGCAGCAGTAGCTAGCATCAACATCATCATCATCGTGATTATAATTCCTGGGGGCTGCTGTTTAACGCACGCAGCAATAATCAACACTCTCACTTACATTCCCACACACACACAGACACACAGACAGGCACACMTCAACGTATATAAGCTGTCATTAGGCTATGGCTGGCCCACACGGCGTATGCGCAATTTCTCTGAGCTTCGATGATTGCTGAAGTGCACTGAAATTGCTTGGCGACCGAGCGAAACAAAGGGCAGCAGCCACATGCACCACGTGCACATGCACACACCCACACACACACACTGAACAATTGAATGTGGTTGCAATTGCAGAACATTTAAGCTGCAGGCATTTAAAACTGGATTATCCACTCGAATCAAAGCATTTGGTAAAGCCTTAATAGTGATTGAAGCGCTGCTAGTTAATTGAAATTGAATCGAGCTATTGCAGAACTTAATTAAAGGTTATATTTAGTTTGAGGTATACAGGTGAAGACATATATAGAAAGTGTATTATTTAGAAACTAAGCTGAAATATATTTTAAACTCAATAAATTATTTGTATCCAGCTTTTCTATTCAAAATATTACTGAAAGCTGATTACTGAATGTGAAAATAATATAAACCTCTATATCTTTCGTTTAGATTCTATATATATTTATGTTTATTCTACGTTAGTTTCATCTTCTTTCAATTCGAGTTCATACGAAAGGATTCAGCTCAAAATCTCGACTCAAACTACTCAACTTCTCAAACTTCCTTTCCTTCCGTAGCTAGTTTGCGAAAAGTTAAATTCAAATAATTGCGCAGTGCGATTCAAAATTGGCAGAGAAATGTCTTCAATTTCCTCTCTTGAGTTGTAGTAGTTGCTGCTGCTGCTGCTACGGCTCTGTATCTGTCTGCGTGTGGGCGTGTGGGCGTGTGCGACTGCTGCAAGTGCCCTTAAATTAAATTCTGCTTCACATTGCTGCAGCACGTTTTGCCTGCCGCTTGCTGCTTGCGGTCTTTAATTAAATTAATGAAAGGATATTTCATGCTACCAAACGCTGCGTATACGTTATATTTGCTATTTTTTTATTTTCTTCGCTGGCAACTTCCAATGTGGCTTGACTGTTGCAAAATGCAATCAGCGCTGCCTTGTTAAGCTCTTGCTATTGCCACCCCCTTTCCTTTTGCTGCCCCCTCGCTTTAAACCGATTTCCTTATCCTTCATGCTGCTGTTACTCTGCATAAAATAATTAACGTAGCTTTTTGTTGCCTCTCTGCGCATTTACACAGTTAATCAACGAAACTGAAGTGAGAGAGAGACTGAGTGAAGCAGGTCACATAGAGAGAGAGAGAGAGAGAGAGAGAGAGAGAGAGAGAGAGAGAGAGAGAGAGAGAGAGAGAACCCCAATGCCGAACTCTTTAAATGTTAAAAAAAAAACTTCCAGTTTAAAAGTTTTGCCTGACAATTTCTTTCGGAAGATTTTCCGCCCAGACCGCAAAACCTCAATCAATCAACCGCTTACAGGATATACCACAATTTCTTGACCGAACTTCTTGAATGCCGTAAATAAATTCAACAAAATTTAATCATTTCTTTTTTCTCTTAGCGAAATATATATGCTAAAATCGTGGGTGTGGCCAAGTTGAGAAAACATCTTGAAATTGAATTGGGAATCAAACTTGACAAAAATGTTGACTTAAGTCTAAAGCATGAAATCAATTTGAAAAGTTTCTTCGTATTTTCTTGTGGTGCTATGGAAGAGCGCATTTGCATATTACACACGCAATGAAAGCAAAAGACTAAAGGGGGGCGTGGCAGTTGACCAGGCAATGCATAGCATTGCTACAGGGTATGCGGTTAACAAGTCAAAAGTACAAATGGTATATTGAGTGCTGATTACAAAGCGGATAAAGAAGGGGAAAGAACAACAAGAGAATAGCGGAAAAGTCAGATAAAAGTGAAAGCAAAACATGGAAATAGAGAGGGGGAGAGTCTGACAAGGAAACTTTGCATTAACCGAGGCGGAAAATGTGTTTTAGCCGAAAAAAAAGAAAGAAAAGCAAAAATTTATAAAGCGATTTGGGAAAATGCTTGCGTTATTATTGATGGACAAATTGGCAGAGGACAGAGGCAGAGCGTGAGTGTGTGCGTGTGTGTGCGTGTGCGTGTATATGAGGCAACCAAGATTGTTAGCTACAGATGACGGAAACTCCAGGACACATTGGGCCTGGCATTTTATGGGCCGTAATAAAAACACAATTGCAGCTCACTTAAAACTCATCAATCGAAGGGGACACATTAAAGGGACGAGAAATTGAGAGAAAGAGAGAGAGCGAGAGAGAGAGAGAGAGAGAGAGA